TCCTTTCAACAAAATATTTGCACTGCAAATTGTCGAGGTTATCGGCGTGTGCGACATAAGACGAACCAAAGACCTTTTTTTGTCCAGCTAGAAAAAGCCCACTCTCCCAAAGGTTTCAAACTCGGCGGGCAATCGTCAACTTTTGGTTGAGTACACTTCCTTATCATCCATATAACCCTGATTTGGCTACACCAAATTTTTGTCTGTTCAGCTACAAAAGGATGAATTGGACAAACAAGATTTGAAAACAGCGATAGTGTAATACCGGGAGTTTGAGCATGGCTAAGTGAGCACAAAACGAGCTTCTATGGGGAAGGAATGCACGCCCTTGTTCTACTCGAGCGTAAATACAGCAAAAAAAAGATTGAGCGGAAAATACGTAAAAAACAAACAAACAAAAAAACTCTTATGCAAGGAAAATGCCGAAATATATGGTGAAACTGTATTTTTGCATTATTGAATATTTTTAATAATTATTATTTTGAAAAAAAAACAGTTAAAGAAATGTGAGGTAGGATACCAAAGGACTGCTTCCTGAGCAGTCCTTGTAGTATCCTACCTCGGTGGAGTAGTGCTGTTACATTTAAAAAAAAAGTAAAAAAAAAAGTAAATTATTGTTTTCAAAAGTCGCACAGCCAGTATGCCATGGGAAGTGCACCTTCTTTTATTTTATAACACATTACTCTTTCTTTGCATGTTGCAGATCATTATTAAAACAAGAAATGCGGGTAGTTCTATATACGTCCACTGTATCATGCGAACGTGTATTTTTATACTGTTCATTTAATAACCCGTATATTAGTTAGCGAGGGAAGTTCGGTCATTTTAGTCTTTTATCAAATTAATTCTAAACCTTTATATTGTGAAGAAGACGCAAAAACACTGGTACAAATTTGTCTCCCCATATTTCTGCTACCGTAGCAAAATAAAATTTTTTTTTAGCAATTTTCACAATAATTAAACTAAAAAAATGATTTCAGGCTTGCAAGTCCGGTTTTCTCTCCTCTCTCGTATATACAAACTTCATGCCTCGCTTCAGAGTGATTATTTATTTACGGCATTATAAATTATTTTTGTTTCGTCTAGTTTCTCAGGGCGAGAAATCATTAGAGGGCTCAATACTCGTTCGAAGGTGTGCCATTTTGGGCACAGGCTGATCACTGCTTAAGCAGGGGCGACATTTATTAACGGGAACACGCTCCTTCGAGCTGTAAGGGTTGAGACCTCGCATCGATTTTCAATCAATACCAAAGTAACACGTCTCGGAAGAACGGCCAAAATCTGCTTGACGCAGGGTACAACGATCACGAGAAAAGAAGGTCGCGAACGCACGCGTCTCGCGTTATCAGGTCGATACCCTGTCAAAAAACGAGTTTTGAGCGAGGCCGGAGAAGGTGACACCGTTGATAGCAAGATATGCGACAGAAAAAAAAAACAAGAAAAAAAAACTGATACTAAAAAGCAAATAACTAAACTCAGGTGGAATCTTTGGGCTGGAAGTGAAGAAAGTTTGCTTAGTAGGTAGGAGACGGCAGGCGAAATCAATTATCGCTGGGGTGCCGCGTAAGAATCAATTATCGACGTGACAGTCTGACCGATGGCGAAGGAAAAAGGAAGAAGAAAAGAAAGAGATAGAAAGAGAAAGAGGGATAGAGGAGGAGGAAGGAGCTTGTGGCTTGGAGAAAATATGTGGTGAAAGGCCACCATTTTATTTTCGGCACGTGCATTTTCTTTTAGAACGCTTTTACTCGCGTACTGTTAGATTGTTTGTAAGCATATTTATTCGCCATCAAAGAGATGACAGCAGAATAACACTGGACGAAGCTTTTTTTTTTCTTTCGTTTTCCTAACTAAGGTTAGTTTGCAAAAAGTAAATATGCGTTTTGTTAGTTATTGTGTGACATTATATTGACTCTTTGGCGCACACTTTAAATTATCGTGTGAATACCGCTTCTCATGTGCCCGTGCGGATTTTAGACTCGTGAATGCTGGGATAGGAGACGAATACCTATAAGACCGACATTTTTATTTATTCTCTAATACTGCAGGCCCCGTCAGGGTCGAGGCAGCAATGGGGGGGGGGGGGGGGGGGGGGGGAGAGAAAGGGGTGGCAGAGACTCAAACACACGTTCTTTAACACAGCACTGGTACTAAATAGCATATATCATCGCAACCTCGAAAAAAATACACCAGGGGTTGGGCCATCAACTTTGTTTTTTGAGCAGTTCCATTCTATTATGGTCCTAGAAAAAAAAAAAAAACGAATATTTAAATATATTGTTTGCGCTTTGGTATGGCTCTAAAATACTTCCATTATTAAAGCGTGTATTTTGGCGTGCGACGTGCTTTGTGTATGGTGATGAATCTAAATTAAAGCAATTATTCTTGATGAGTTGTAAAACCTTCAATCTGAAATTTTTTCGGCGCGATCTCAAAGACTCCAATCCAAGTGAGTTCAATATTTCTGATGGGCTGTCTACGCGACAGTACATGTTGCATATGAATTACGCAGCTGGCCTTTAATCTTTCTTTAATTCGCCTATGGCTTTTTGTGCACACGGATACAAGACTATATATGTTATAATACTTAAAAAAACAAGCGAGCTGGTGATGATTCATGGTAATAAAACCCGAGACTCAGGCTCCTGAATCTCGGGTTTTATTGCTATAGACTATATATGTTGTTTTTCTAGGAATGGCACATAAAATTTCAGCTACATTTTTTTAGTTCTGTTGTAGAGTAAACAATGTTTGAACAACATTTTTCTAGATGAGATTGAAGTCGGAATCTTTTAATGAAAAATAAAAGTTCAGTTTTCGCGTCTGCTGACATATTTGAATTTGATAATCTTTCTTATCAAAGTTACACATGAATAAACGAGCGATTTCTGACAAATTTGGTGAAAAAATATTGCCAGTCTCGTGTTTGTCTTGAAGTGACAAAAAAATATTTTCGGAATCGACGCGCTCACCTTTCAACCTCTGCGTATCGTATCGATATTGATAACACTAAGCGGAAGCAGCTGGCAATGTGCGAGCAATGAAGCAACTTTTAGGCTGATCCATCTGAAACGTTCTCCAAGCCGCGCCGTTGGCTCCACGGTCACCGACAACTTAACAAATGCGTGTTTGGTCGAACCTGGAGCATCAAACTCTTAGTCCGCAACTCTTACTTCGCAAATAGCGCCATCGGCTAATAAGACTTTTGAAGAACGAGTTACGAAGTGAAATTCGTGATCATGATAGACCCGCCCTGCGTTTCTTGAGCTATCACTTCTTTATTTCTTATTTAACGTTCATGGCTCTACACCTGGCGCTGCATTGAGACCACATGCCAGCATCGTAACAAGGTCGATCCCCATTCCGCTCTTTGCGTCTTGGAATTCGGAGACTTTTGCTTCGACGAAGATAAAGTTTGATTTTCGATTTCCAAGTAAAAAATAAATCGAACGCGCGAACCGGCCCGCTGCGACGCCTGGGATGACTCGTCGCAAAAGACGGCGAACAAGGGACGCTGGAGCAGAATGGCAGCCTCGCTTATCTTGGACACACTGATACGGGCCCAGACTGCCAGAAGAGATCGACCCCTGCTTGGGTCGATCGGGCACAGCGACGCCAGTCAAGCGCATGAACGCGATAAGGAATGCTTTAATTGACGCATTTGGGTGTCCCCCCAACGATCGTTTTGCTAGCAGGGCAGCCTCAATCCGCCAAAGTTTACACATCCCGAACACCCCCCAGAAAAGAAAAAAAAAGGCTTCGGAAAAAGGGCGATTAGAGCGAAGCCTGTGCTTTGTCTCGTTGTTTATTCTGGCACGCTGGTTTTTATAGCGCTGCTTGTTGATCGTAATATAGGCTAGAAAGTGTACACCCGAAATTGTTATCTCCTGGGGGGTAAAATCGAATGTTGCTATGAGAAGCCTCGCGGGGCTAGTAATTTTTCATGTTTTGACTAGAGTACTTTTAATAAGTGACGGAAGACCCCATTTGCTATCGCTCTTCCACTCAGCCGAATATTACCATGAATTGCCTAACCCAACATCGCTCAAGCATGCATATCTATTTGCTTAGAGTTCTCAAGGGCCGTGACTGGTGTGCGTTTGTTTGCTTGCGTGAGAAATTACGACTTAGGAAATCAACCCGTGGTCTCTAGAATGACTGCACTTTATTGTCATCCACCTTGCATGACGGGATTCTTACAACTTTATTTTTGGGACGATAATTAAGGCAATTTGGACAATATCTACAATAGTCATAGCGGGAGATATAATTGAAAGCGCGGCCCATACGAGTGTTCAATCTCGCATTTCTTTTTCATGGGTTTTCGTTTTAAGGTTTTGGTGGTATTTGCTTTTCACTCCTTTAAGTACGTTTACAGAAGGAAAAAAGCGTTTTCGTAGGCGTCCGCTTCTTTGTGTAAATATAGCAATGAACATATGCATGCCAGACGCTCATGTAGATATATTTTTTAAATGAAAATATGTCAATCCATCGCATCTTGAACTAGATTTTTAATAAACGTGACCATTAAAAAGTAAATTATTATTTGTATTTTAATTTTTCCACAAAATTGTAAGCTTCCCCGAAAAAAAAATGAAATAAAAGGCACCATACAAAAAACCTGTAAATGCCCATCTAGCCCTAAAATGTGAAAAAAGGAAGCTACCGAAAGCTGGATAAGCAAAGGCTATGGAACACTATGTCCCACGCTTCTTGCTTCGACATTTATTTTTACCACGTTCTTTGCGACCGAATTCTGAATCACTTAAGCTGCGGAGAAACAGTGAGATGAAGGAGACTCTCTATTCGCCCTACGTTGCTTAGGTTGTCTCTGTGTATAGGCATCTCGGGTTCACCAAAGAGTCCACGGAAGGAAATTTCTTTTTTTAATTTTAATTTTCCTATCAGCTCCCACCGCCACTCCATGCACAAAGTTTCGGGCCACGGCGAGCTGGTATATCGTCTGGCTAATACTTTCGTGCGTTTCGGTAAAATCGCAGGTAGTTCAAGAGTACGAGCGGGCCGTCATCTTCCGCCTAGGTCGATTGCTTCGCGGAGGTGCAAAAGGCCCAGGTGAGTGCCAATTCCTTACTTTCTTTCCTGTGCTTGGCAGTGTGGGCGCGTTGCATTGAAATACTGCATAGAAGCATAGCTTTTTCCGACCTTTCATTGATCAAAACATCGGCTGGGAGGTTTGTGTAGAAGAATGAATAAATTAGAATTTGTGTTTTTAGCTTTTGTGGTTTTCTACGTAGAAAAATTAAAGCTATAAAATATTTTTTTTTTATTTTTTGTTGTATTTGCGATGGATCTTAATGCGGAAGTAAGAGTTATCGTGCGGGCGCGTTGGTTATGCATAATTCTGAAAAAAAAAACGCGGAGACGTGGGCAAACGAAAAAAGTGGTCAGGACAACTCAATTGATGTTGCCGTCAAGTTCTCGTTTTGGTGTGTCCCGGCTGTCGCTGTGTTTTTCTGGTAACTGTGTGTGGTCGATGTAAGATACGACATGATAAAATATGCCTCATAAGTCTTGCATATGGCCAGCGCTGTACTCAATATTCAATTTGCATTTAGGTATATGGAAATTCTCCCTACTCAAAAATGGAAGATATTGCAGAGTTGAAGCTGGGGTTTTGAGATAGCATATTTTGTATTTTCTGGAATAAAGTTCCACGATAATTTAATGAAGACAGTCAGATTCTTCTTTAGAAGTCTAAACACAGGCAGACTGTGGTGTCAAAATAACTTTTTTTTCTTTAATTTCAGACAGTTGATGGTTTTGTTACAACTTTGTCACCAAAGTTTTTAATAAAATATAGCGTCCAAGCATCTGTGTTTCAGTGAGTACAGGAGTGCACATGTTATTGATTATGTGACTAATGTTTGTCATGAAGATGTTAAAGAAAATTTAAAAAAGTAGATCTTAATTGTCCTTGGATTTGCATATTTAAATTAGAATAAAATTTAAAAGTGGACTTTCATTACGAGAACAAATGGTAGATGCTATTTCACACGAAAGAAAAGTTTTAATAGTGAGCTTCGAAGTGTAGTAGATTGGAGAGGTTTCCGTTCAATATGTTTTTCGGAAACTATAAATTGACGCTCCCAATCGCATCTGCGCAGGCCCTCAGCAACGTGTTACGGATCATCCTTAATTATTGTTTACTGAAAAGAGACGATTTCTAAGCGGAGGATTAAATCTTAGTAGAAAACGTTACCAAAGCGAAAATCATTGGAAGTTTAGTTTGGGCTGCTTTTCGGTGCAAAATCATGGCGACACACACGCACGCACACACACACACAAACACACACACATACACACACACGCACACACGCACACACACGCATGCACGCATGCACGCACGCACGCACACAAGATTTATATATATAAATGCATGATTTATATACATATATATAAATCATGCAGCTTCTACGAAGTTCTTCTGAGTCCCTTATAAATCATACATTTCACATGAGTGTTATATTCAATTTCTTAAAACTTTAATTTACTAGAGGGTACTCAAGTTGCACGCAACGTAATATTCATGTGTGTTTCAGCGAAATTGCCTGCCTTGCGAAGCCTGGGTAGGTAGAGCCCGCCACTCTCTGAAAGGAACCAATTTCCGATACAGTTTATGCGGTGGGCTATGAACGCATTCACCAGAGACGCTTTTTCTTTAGAGACAGAATAAAACAAGGGTTTATATATTTTCTTACCCCAAGCCATGTGGGCCTGAACAAAGTGAATACTAGTGACCGATGAGTCCACGCCCAGTAAAAAAAAAACAAAAAAAAACAACGAGGCGTCCAACATAGTAAGAAAAATCCCGAGACTGGTAAAATAAAGGACTTACAAACACAGACGTGCGGACAGAGGGACCAACCTCTGTGTCTTTCTGTCCTTCCTTCTTTCCAGTTTTGGGGTTTTGCTTACAATGTTAAACTATCAACAGATCGTTTGCGCCCTAACCTTCTGTTCAGCAGAACGACCAAGGTAAAAAACAACAAAAAAAAATCTAATAAAAACCGGAGTGCTTTGCTTGCTGATATCATTTATTTTCGCAGGTATTTTTTTCATCATTCCCTGTATCGACACCTATTGCAAGGTGGACTTGAGAACAGTATCATTCGATGTTCCTCCACAGGAGGTAAGTCAACGGTTCCCTTTATATAACACTTCTTTCTACTTACTATTAACCGCATGCATACACCTCTCTTGATACACAGTTCTTCCAGGTCTGTCACATTTAAAGGGGTTATGACACAAACGTTAAATGGATAGATTGTTCTTGAAATGGAATGCTCATAGGCTACTTAGTATATTCTCCAAGTTACGCGATTTTTAGAGCGCTGGTAATTGCAATGACTAATTTACAAATTTTTATACTTTTCATCTGGTGACCAAACAACACTGCCCAAGTTAGTCGCACCATGGGGTCCATAAACCACGTGATCATGAACGCTCTCTTGATTCTAGGCGCGCCTATGGTTCGCGCAAGCTCTCCTCGCCGCGGTACGATCAAAACTGCTCACGCAACTCGGTAACCCGAAAGCTATTTTCGCTATCCCCCCCCCCCCCCCGGCCCGCTGACCTCCCACCCTGCATGCGCCTGCGGGATATTCCCGGACGACGGTGACCACGGCGAGTTCGTCCACTACTCGCCGTCGCTGGAGGTGGTCGTCAGTGGGTCGCAGTCGAAATGAACAGCATCCAACATCTCTTGATAGCAATCATTCTCATCGCTGCTGCGATAAATGTCGAACACTTTGACAAGGTGAGCGATGCCGTAGACGTAATCGTCACGGACCGCATGCTCGAAACGCGTAAGGTAAACGAAGAAGCTGAAGCCCGATACGCCAAGAGAGCCATGTCTGGGAGTGCGTGCAAGTGGACGCCTCGCGGAACGCAGGCTACGTAGCCAGCCTCCCGTTCCGCCCAGATCCGCCCCTCCGAGAGACCCGCAAATAAATCGATTTATTCACGAAACCCTCGCGCCATTTTCAAAACAAATTTAGCGCGATTATAGGAACTTACAATGGGCCCTAGCGGTATTGTTGTTATACTTTACTTTTGACGTGTCATAACCCCTTTGAAGCTGGCTTATACATCATACATATATCTACAAATATCCAGGTGTATTCCATTGCCCAAAGCACAATCGAACAGTGTTCTGATTGAATTAAATTGTAGTCAAGACGAGCTTGTTCTGATCTTCCGCTCTCGCGTTTTTTTTTCTCATTTTTTTTTCTCATCCGGGTGTTTTTGCGATAGATTGTGCAATGCTGGTCCGGGTCATATTATTTTCCCATTTAGGTTAAATATATATATTAAAGTCAGTTTCTTGGGAGAAGAATTCAGTTAGATATGAAGGTCGTAGCTAAGTAGTTTTCTGGAGATATAAAATTTCGACGCTCGAGAAGTGGAGATTGCCAAGGTTTGTCTATGGCACTTTGCAAAGCCGTCAATTTCACACCAAAACATGCACTTAGTAATAATTTGGTCTACTAATTTTATGAAAGGTTTACAACACGTACACAGAATATTGAAATTTCAATAAAACATTTTTATGCAAAAATGTTACAAATTATTTACAAACTACAAAATAGTGAACATCTTTCAAAGCAAATGCATTAGAATGCATAAGCAGGAATGTATACTCCCTACGATAGAGCAGTACCACCGTGCGACCTTTGTCGGCTCTAGGAAATGTATCATTGCAGCCAATGTCGTGCGGCAAACCCGCTATTACGAACACAAGCTATTTCAATTTGAGTAATGGTTTGTTGTAGTTTTTGCTATTTTGGAGGTAATATTTTACAAAATGTTTCGCCATCACAAGTTAGTTCAATACACTGCAGACGATCGAGACAAATGTTAAAAAAAGAAAGATGGATTTTGGTTTTAGAGATTGACGTGCAATTTTGACACATTTAGAGAAATCCCTTTTGTTTCTGTATTATTTACAGAACTGCAATATTGGCCATGCATATATTTTATTGATATTGATAAAATTCTCTTAAGGTTGATAATTTTGATACATTCTGTGTCATTCTGGTATGAAGTTGTTGGTTCGTACATAATTTCTGAAAGTGTTTAGAAAACGATTTTACTTGATGTTTTTCCTAGTTTTTTCGTATATAAATATTTCATTGTAATTTTTAATCTGTTCCAAGCTTTCTGTAAAATAAGTAGGAAAATTATTATTACGTACACGATTGTGTTTGAAATTGAGAGCTCTTCAAATCGCCATAGTGAAACCTTGGTCAGCTGCACGTCTCGAGGTTCGAAATTTCATATCTCCGGGAGAAAATTAGCTCACAGCTCAAATATATATTTGACCTATATTTTTACATAAATATAAAAAGATATATGACACTGATTATCTTTATAACATCTGTCATGGAAACAGCCATGTTCTCTGGTAATGTAAATTCACTTGTTATCGACTAATAGTTTTCTTTTGAACGTAGCCACAAGATGACTAGACTCTCTAGGAGCACCGTGCTTCCCAACGAAGTTTAATTTCACCTTAGAACGCTGCTAACAGCGTTTGGAGTTGAAGAACCTCCTCAGATAAATTTCCTGATACAATATCGTCTTCAAGGGAGGAGATTACTCACCATTTTTTAACTGAAGAGATTTAAAAAAAATCCATAGCTTAAAAAAAGTTGCCATTCATAACAAAGCATTTTTGGCATTTTATTCATTCTTTCCGAAAGTAGGGAGGAGATGGATCCTGTTAAGAATTCGTTGCACACAATAGAGCAATACACTGTTTACAAACAAGCCCGCGTTTGCGGGCTTGTTTCTAATGCCCGCACCAGGTGCAGGCATTGCTCCTACGCAGATGCGCAGGGACCAGATTAGCGTGAAAGGAATTGTTTGCGTATGCGCAGTATCGACAGCAGCGCCACCACCGACCGCAGCGCTACCACTACTTTCTGCTACAGAGTCAGAGAGTTGAGTTGGTGTATAGCGTAGGCCTATGAACCCATTTATAGCGGCAGAGCCCCTTCCCAATCGCGATGTTGTAAATAACCTGTTACTTGCAAAAAAAATCTTACCCAAATGAGGTTTTGGGTAAACCTAGTTATTTAAAGCACTCTCAGTGTAGTATACTGCCTAAAAGAAAGCAAATTAACAATTACTTCAAAGCTGGAAATACTCCATTCAATTGAGTCAACTGCAGTGCACTAACAATGAGACCGATATTTCTATTTCCTTCCTAATGTGAAATATATTTCACGATTATCCAGGGTCTATTGCGGTACTCTTCCAATAAAAGGCTTAAAGCACTTAGAACGGCATGTCATACGTACATCATGTGGGAATACAATTTTCTACAATGTGGCAATGAAGTGGATTCCATTGTAAGTCGTACAGCCAGTACTATCCGAAGTATCGCACAGAGCAACTAAAACGAATACGGTTAACAAGTTGTTTTACTGAGTATTCCGCACTCACTTTTTGAAACATTTTGTTGTGTTAAGATTCCATGAAAACGATAACATGAGTCCTGCTCAGGTTATCACGCGCTATAAGGCGAACTTTAAAACTTACGTGATAAACAGAACATTTAGTGTCGCTAATGCAAAACTAAACAAGTTGGAACGAGTTTGAGCTCACATCTCAGTTGCTTTGGATAAACATCAAAAGGATAAAACAATAATTTTGAGCCATTCATGAATTTAAAGAATTTCATAATTATACTTTAATTGCGGGCGAATGTTTCAAAATAAATGACAGATTTGGCGGCGTAAAACACAACACATACATCATGGGTTATGTTACAATGTAATCATCAAGTGCAGATGCACTTGATAATTAGATTGCAACAAAACCCATGCTTGAGATTTTCTCTGGACGATAGAAATTAGCGAATTTCATGCATATGGATACGAGACTTGTTTACGATAAACCAATAATATCGCATTAATTCATCTCCATGTCTAGTATACATTTCAAGTGTGCTGAAGAATAATGTTTTCAATGGCATCCTCCGATTTAATTGGAAACGGAATATATTACATGGCGTCTCCCCGTAAGGAACATTTCAGGACAAAAACTTGAATATGAAATTTATGTATTACTAATAAATATGTGGTACGTTTTTTTAAAGAGACGTCGCGAGCCAGATAACATGCAATTGTGGCGAGCAACTTGTAACGTTAGACTTGATCATCTAAGATAAGCTTAGAGTCACACTATGCGTTATTGAGAAAGTTACAGACGATTCGTTGGCGTATGAATTAGAAAAGCAAGAAATGGTACGAGTGGCCCCGCTCAAATAAGAAACGGAATCAAACTATGTGTACATATTAAACGCCGACGACTGAGGAGTGAAATTGAAAATGTGACACCCGTCGCATTTACGTAAACAAAGTACGGCTTTGTGTAGAATTTGTATGAATGCTGAGAGTGATTCTTGCCAAGGTATACGTGATGAACGCATTCTGAATAGACGTCACCCCTGCCACAATTATAAACACATGTGGAAGGATAATCACTGGTAATTGCTCGTGTTTCTGCCCAGGCTAATAACTAATTGCTTCTGCACATTAGAGCGGCTTACAGATACCGACAAACGATGGGAGATCCTATAAAGAATTTCTTTATTTAAGAAAAAACATTTGGGGAGGGAAGAGGCAGGGGTGGCAAATATCAGTTATCGAGATGTCGCAGGAGCGATCACGAGTTCCCTGTTTGACGATGCCGGAATATACTCCGACCTCGTCAAACAGGGAACTCGTGATCGCTTTTACGACATCTCGATAACTGATGTCAAATCTGTTAAAAAAATGAAAAGTAAAATAAAATCGGAGACATTGATTTTTATTTTGAGAAATCTATAAACCTCTCAAAGTAAAAAAATAATTGTCTCTGTTTGTTTTTTTTTGCTTTTCATTTGTTTTTAACAGAACAAATATCAGTTATCGAGATGTCGCAAGAGCGATGACGAGTTCCCTGTTTGACGAGGCCTCATCAGTACTTCATTATATTCCGGCCTCATCAAACAGGGAACCCGTGATCGCTCCTGCGACATCTCGATAACTGATATTTGCCACCCCTGCATCTTTTTTTCTTTTTTAACAAAACCAACCTGCCACACTAAAGCGCCAGGCTCTTGCGCTTCCTTAAAATAACGAG